TAATCTTTACCCTTTGACATCTAATTGCACAAACACGATATTTTTTAAACATTTTACGTGACCCTATGTTGACCTTCATGTTGTTCTCATGTAAAACGTGTCAAACAAATCAAGTTCCTGAAAAAGTACATATATGTGTTCATGTCTATTAAAACATCAAACAACTAGGCCTACCTGTTTCAAATGTAACATTTGGTGTTTACGCAAAACACAATCAACCGACATGTAGCACTTAAGATTTTGGCTTCTCCTAGTTTTAACGAAACAAAACTAAAACAACTCAAGACACGTATAAAAATAACAAATAATCTTTCAGTGTCACTGAACTGTCTTTTTAAAAATTAGTTTTGACATAGAAGATAAACAATGTTACGTAAACAATATTAATTTTTAGGAAAGTATTCAGGTTAGGTTAGGTTGGGTTAGGTTGGGTTGGGTTGGATGGGTGGGTTTGTTTTCGATTGGGTTGGTTTGGGTTGTATTGGGTTGTATTTTGTATTGGGATTTATTGGGAAGGGTAAGATTTGGTAGCAAATGAATCCCATTATTCACATAATTTAAATTTTGGTTTTTCAATTTCAAATATCTGTTAAATAATTCAAGTTTTTAAACAAATCTATAGCAAGTTTAAATACCTTATATTAAACTCTAGATGTTTTACCATCTCGAATACGCTAACATACACGGTAGTGTACTAATTCAAACAGACAGCTACTGTAGCCATTGTACCGATGGTCTGTACTTCTATCAGTTACTGTAGCCATTGTACCGATGGACTGTACTTCTATCAGACAGTTACTGTAGCCATTGTACCGCTGGGCTGTACTTCTATCAGACAGTTACTGTAGCCATTGTACCGCTGGGCTGTACTTCTATCAGACAGTTACTGTAGCCATTGTACCGCTGGGCTGTACTTCTATCAGTTACTGTAGCCATTGTACCGCTGGACTGTACTTCTATCAGATAGTTACTGTAGCCATTGTACCGCTGGGCTGTACTTCTATCAGACAGTTACTGTAGCCATTGTATGGCTGGGCTGTACTTCTATCAGTTACTGTAGCCATTGTACTGCTGGACTGTACTTCTATCAGACAGTTACTGTAGCCATTGTACCGCTGGGCTGTACTTCTATCAGTTACTGTAGCCATTGTACTGCTGGACTGTACTTCTATCAGACAGTTACTGTAGCCATTGTACCGCTGGGCTGTACTTCTATCAGTTACTGTAGCCATTGTACCGCTGGACTGTACTTCTATCAGATAGTTACTGTAGCCATTGTACCGCTGGGCTGTACTTCTATCAGACAGTTACTGTAGCCATTGTACCGCTGGGCTGTACTTCTATCAGTTACTGTAGCCATTGTACCGCTGGGCTGTACTTCTATCAGACAGTTACTGTAGCCATTGTACCGCTGGGCTGTACTTCTATCAGTTACTGTAGCCATTGTACCGCTGGTATGTACTTCTATCAGATAGTTACTGTAGCCATTGTACCGCTGGGCTGTACTTCTATCAGACAGTTACTGTAGCCGTTGTACCGCTGGGTTGTACTTCTATCAGACAGTTACTGTAGCCATTGTATGGCTGGGCTGTACTTCTATCAGTTACTGTAGCCATTGTACCGCTTGGATGTACTTCTATCAGACAGTTACTGTAGCCATTGTACCGCTGGGCTGTACTTCTATCAGACAGTTACTGTAGCCATTGTACCGCTGGACTGTACTTCTATCAGACAGTTACTGTAGCCATTGTACCGCTGGGCTGTACTTCTATCAGACAGTTACTGTAGCCGTTGTACCGCTGGGTTGTACTTCTATCAGACAGTTACTGTAGCCATTGTATGGCTGGGCTGTACTTCTATCAGTTACTGTAGCCATTGTACCGCTTGGATGTACTTCTATCAGACAGTTACTGTAGCCATTGTACCGCTGGGCTGTACTTCTATCAGACAGTTACTGTAGCCATTGTACCGCTGGACTGTACTTCTATCAGACAGTTACTGTAGCCATTGTATCGCTGGGCTGTACTTCTATCAGACAGTTACTGTAGCCGTTGTACCGCTGGGTTGTACTTCTATCAGACAGTTACTGTAGCCATTGTATGGCTGGTCTGTACTTCTATCAGTTACTGTAGCCATTGTACCGCTTGGATGTAATTCTATCAGACAGTTACTGTAGCCATTGTACCGCTTTGCTGTACTTCTATCAGTTACTGTAGCCATTGTACCGCTGGGCTGTACTTCTATCAGACAGTTACTGTAGCCATTGTACCGTTGGGCTGTACTTCTATCAGACAGTTACTGTAGCCATTGTACTGCTGGACTGTACTTCTATCAGACAGTTACTGTAGCCATTGTACTGCTGGGCTGTACTTCTATCAGACAGTTACTGTAGCCATTGTACCGCTGGGCTGTACTTCTATCAGACAGTTACTGTAGCCGTTGTACCGCTGGGATGTACTTCTATCAAACAGTTACTGTAGCCATTGTACCGCTGGGTTGTACTTCTATCAGACAGTTACTGTAGCCATTGTATGGCTGGGCTGTACTTCTATCAGTTACTGTAGCCATTGTACCGCTTGGATGTACTTCTATCAGACAGTTACTGTAGCCATTGTACCGCTGGGCTGTACTTCTATCAGACAGTTACTGTAGCCATTGTACCGCTGGACTGTACTTCTATCAGACAGTTACTGTAGCCATTGTACCGCTGGACTGTACTTCTATCAGAAAGTTACTGTAGCATTGTACCGCTGTGCTGTACTTCTATCAGTTACTGTAGCCATTGTACCGCTGGGCTGTACTTCTATCAGTTACTGTAGCCATTGTACCGCTGGGCTGTACTTCTATCAGTTACTGTAGCCATTATACAGCTGGGCTGTACTTCTATCAGTTACTGTAGCCATTGTACCGCTAGACTGTACTTCTATCAGACAGTTACTGTAGCCATTGTACCGCTAGACTGTACTTCTATCAGACAGTTACTGTAGCCATTGTACCGCTGGACTGTACTTCTATCATATAGTTACTGTAGCCATTGTACCACTGGGCTGTACTTCTATCAGACAGTTACTGTAGCCATTGTACCGCTGGGCTGTACTTCTATCAGTTACTGTAGCCATTGTACCTCTGGACTGTACTTCTATCAGACAGTTACTGTAGCCATTGTACCGCTGGACTGTACTTCTATCAGACAGTTACTGTAGCCGTTGTACCGCTGGACTGTACTTCTATCAGTTACTGTAGCCATTGTACTGCTGGGCTGTACTTCTATCAGACAGTTACTGTAGCCATTGTACCGCTGGACTGTACTTCTATCAGTTACTGTAGCCATTGTACTGCTGGACTGTACTTCTATCAGACAGTTACTGTAGCCATTGTACCGCTGGACTGTACTTCTATCAGTTACTGTAGCCATTGTACTGCTGGGCTGCACTTCTATCAGACAGTTACTGTAGCCATTGTACCGCTGGACTGTACTTCTATCAGACAGTTACTGTAGCCATTGTACCGCTGGACTGTACTTCTATCATACAGTTACTGTAGCCATTGTAACGCTGGACTGTACTTCTATTAGATAGTTACTGTAGCCGTTGTACCGCTGGACTGTACTTCTATCAGTTACTGTAGCCATTGTACTGCTGGACTGTACTTCTATCAGACAGTTACTGTAGCCATTGTACCGCTGGACTGTACTTCTATCAGTTACTGTAGCCATTGTACTGCTGGACTGTACTTCTATCAGACAGTTACTGTAGCCATTGTACCGCTGGACTGTACTTCTATCAGTTACTGTAGCCATTGTACTGCTGGGCTGCACTTCTATCAGACAGTTACTGTAGCCATTGTACCGCTGGTCTGTACTTCTATCAGTTACTGTAGCCATTGTACCTCTGGACTGTACTTCTATCAGACAGTTACTGTAGCCATTGTACCGCTGGACTGTACTTCTATCAGTTACTGTAGCCATTGTACGTCTGGGCTGTACTTCTATCAGACAGTTACTGTAGCCATTCTATCGCAGTGCTGTACTTCTATCAGTTACTGTAGCCATTGTATGGCTGGGCTGTACTTCTATCAGACAGTTACTGTAGCCATTGTATGGCTGGGCTGTACTTCTATCAGACAGTTACTGTAGCCATTGTATGGCTGGGTTGTACTTCTATCAGACAGTTACTGTAGCCATTGTACCGCTGTGCTGTACTTCTATCAGTTACTGTAGCCATTGTACCGCTGGACTGTACTTCTATCAGACAGTTACTATAGCCATTGTACCGCTAGTCTGTACTTCTATCAGACAGTTACTGTAGCCATTGTACCGCTGGACTGTACTTCTATCAGTTACTGTAGCCATTGTACCGCTGGGCTGTACTTCTATCAGTTACTGTAGCCATTGTTCCGCTGTGCTGTACTTCTATCAGACAGTTACTGTAGCCATTGTTCCGCTGGACTGTACTTCTATCAGTTACTGTAGCCATTGTACCGCTGTGCTGTACTTCTATCAGACAGTTACTGTAGCCATTGTACCGCTGGGCTGTACTTCTATCAGTCACTGTAGCCATTGTACCGCTGGACTGTACTTCTATCAAACAGTTACTGTAGCCATTGTACCGCTGTGCTGTACTTCTATCAGTTACTGTAGCCATTGTACCACCGAAACCAATCATATTTAGACATTGACTTAATTATTTATCAATAAAGAAGGTGTGCGAACGTGTAGACTGGCAAAACAAATCAAGCCTGGGGGGTCTACACTAATTGTTTCCCCACTGTAAACAGAGTTTTAACACCCACTTTGATGGTGTGTTGTGTTTTTCGTTTAGTGCGCATCTGGTTTTTCTAACACAATACACGTATTGTGTCTGCATAGTACAAAGAAACCTGTGATCGCGATACAATATTTTTGATTCAGTCTTTACAGGTGTGATGAAAGTAATTACTCTGGAACTAATTACCCCTAGCACCTAGATTGTTTATAAACAGCAACTTACAGCAGACGTGATACAGCAGTCACCAAGCGTTACCGAGTTACATCCAATCTACGAAAGACAAAACTTGAACAGAATGTCATCAGTGTGGTTGATGGTGTTGGTAGTTACAGCTTTTGTTGGAACCGATGCGGTACTTAACATTATTTCCTCACTAGCTAAACCCTATAACTATCTTGACTCTCACAATATTTCAAGTATAACATGTAAAACATGTCACCATTTGAGGTATAAAGTATCAATATTTGAACTATTTTGTGTCAATATTTGATGTATCACGTGACAGAATTTGACGTATGACATGTTAACATTTTATGTATGACTAGTCAACAATTTGAAGTAGGAAATGTTCACGTTTTATGTATGACTAGTCAAGAATTTGAAGTAGGAAATGTTCACGTTTTATGTATGACTAGTCAACAATTTGAAGTATGACATGTTAACATTTTATGCATGACTAGTCAATTATTTGAAGTATGACATGTTAATATTTTATGTATGACTAGTCAACAATTTGAAGTATGACATGTTAACATTTTATGCATGACTAGTCAACAATTTGAAGTATTACATGTTAACATTTTATGTATGACTAGTCAACAATTTGACGTATGTCATGTGAACATTTTTTGTATAACTAGTCAACAATTTGAAGTATGACACGTCAACATTTTTCTACAGCTCCATATCACTCGTGATGTGGCAGCTGAGCCACTCGCCACTGAGAGCTGGAAGGAAAAAGCTCTGAAGTTTCTGGAACTCTCAGAGAAAGGTAAACACATATGATAAATAGGAATAAGAATAGAAGGTATTTTAAAATTAAATGTCTGGTTCCTTTATCAAAACAGTAGATGCACATGCCAATTTTAAATACAATTAAAAAATGTAACAAATTATGGAGAATCTAGGTAACTATCAAACGTATGACATGGATCTACATTCCTACTTAATTAACGAAATCGAAATGTTATTAAATCGGTCGATTATTTTATATTTTTTAAACCATTTGAAAGCTTTAGATTTTTAAATCATCGTGTTTTAGTTATGGTTTGAATTCTTGTAATATGCTTTATATCTTCAATTTTCTCACTGTTTTAACACAAACAGCTATGATAAAAGTATGACTATTCATTCATAGCTATTACTGCAATAAGTCATATTAATGTTTTAAAACAAAATTCTACTAATCTGGATCCTCAGGTATTCCTATAGCTGAACTAAAATCACTCGCCCTCGACTTGAGTGACACAATTGATTCTTTTCTTGCAACTCATGGTGGAAAAGGTAATTAATATTCACTAATTACCTGCCCGTTGGTAACAATAGGGTTTATATTACATTTGATTTCTGCTTGATTAACATTTTTTGATTACATGATTACCTAGTTTTAGATATTAAATTATGTAATTATATTAGCAGTGTCTAAAAAAGTATGTTTCTTGTGTGTTGTCTTCAATGATAGACTTTTTTTCAAATGCACATGTAAAATGTTAAGATGCACACAGAGTACTTGTTGTATTATCCACGTTGTTAAATGACCTCTAGGTGTTAGGTGACCTCTAGTTGTTGTGTGACCTCGGATAGTAAGGTGACCTCTAGTTTTTGGGTGACATCTAGTTTTTGGGTGACCTCTAGTTGTTGGGTGACCTCTAGTTGTTGGGTGACCTCTAATTGTTGCGTGACCTCTAGTTGTTGATTAACCTCTAATATTAAAATGACTTAATTTTTATTATGTTGTGCTATTTAAATGCGTCTCAAGTTTAGAATCTATTTCAATAGACAATTCATTGTGTGTATTGCAATAACTCTAAATCACCTAAAGGCAAAGTTAAGTAAATATATGGTCTGAAAAGTTGTGTTGGGATCGGTATTATAAACAGAAGCCAACAAATATAATTACATTAGTTAAGATATGATGATAACCTTTGAACTCTACTGAATTACTATAGATGCATTAATCGTAAGATCAAATATACCAATGATTTTGTACGATATTTTTGTCCTAGTTTCTGACCAAGAAGTGATCAATTTGCTGAAAGAAATAGCAGCCAATGGACAAATTGGAGAAACTTCTCTCGATGTCCTCTTTGGAGGTATAGTTAAATATTGCAGTAGTTTAAATACATAAAGAATATTTTATACACGCATAGTCACATATATAAAAGACATGTTTTGGTAGACAAATATCCTTAAATACATATAAATATAATATCACAGTTTGATATATATATATATATATATATATATATATATATATATATATATATATATATATATATATATATATATATATAATGTACGTAAAAAGTGCATATGTGTATTAACATACAATAAAGCAAACGGCTTTAACAGTAAATTTGTATTTAGACTGATTCCGTTTTTAACCATACATTTGTATGTAGGATTGTAAAACTAATGTGTTGAGTTAACATGAGAGGTGAGATAAAGAAGGGCATGGAGAAGGGCAGTGAAAATGTGTAATATTAGACAGGCACATGGGCATCTGCTACATGACAGGTGCAATAAAGAAATAAAGAGACACATCTTGTTTCATGTACTTATGTTTAGAGGCAAATGTTGTTTCATGTACTTATGTTTAGAGACACATCTTGTTTCATGTACTTATGTTTAGAGACACATCTTGTTTCATGTACTTATGTTTAGAGACACATCTTGTTTCATGTACTTATGTTTAGAGACACATCTTGTTTCATGTACTAATGTTTAGAGACACATCTTGTTTCATGTACTTATGTTTAGAGGCAAATGTTGTTTCATGTACTTATGTTTAGAGGCAAATATTGTTTCATGTACTAATGCCTAGAGACTATTCTTGTTTCATGTGCTAATGTTTAGAGAAATTGTTTTTCATTTTTGTTAGCCCCAATCAACAATGATGCGAACAAAATCTCAAAGGCCTTTTTACTGTTACGGCAATTACTGGAAATAGATTCAGATCTTGAAGGTATTGTTTTCAAAATTTATGTATTAGACACATATTAACTGAGCACATGAGCTGATTGCATGTTTTAATGTCAAACAATAATTGCTCTAGTATTTACACCGCTGTTATGTATGTTTTTAGCTGCAGGCAAACCGACCAATGGCGTCCTGTCAGCAATGTCGTTCATATCAAGAGCAATAGCAGCCAGCGCGGATAACTTGGGTGAGTAGACTTGAAGACAGGAATAACACAAACATTCGAGGAATCGCCACGTCTTTCCATACTCCTATATATATATATATATATATATATATATATATATATATATATATATATATATATATATATGTTACGGTCAAAGCCCGAAGTGCAGCAAAAGCACGCATTGGCCAAAGCCCAAAGAGCTTAGACTGAGAGCGTATTTCGTACATTAGCCGGCCAATGTGGGCACTGTCCAGGACGAAATGGCCAAAGTTCGAAGAGTTTTAAAATTGGTAAAGTATTTCGTACAGTGGCTAGCCAATGCGCGCACTGGCCGGAATGTCCTGGCTAATGTTCTATCTAGACTAAGTTGTGATCGCGTTTTCATTATTCTGGGTGCGGTTTCATAGTGAGTAACGTATTGTTTAGCTCTTGTTTGTATAGCATTCTATATGCACATGGACCCAAAAGGTCGTCAGACCATGAGACAGACATACCAGAAAGCATCCAAAAGAAAAAAACAACAAATCCTTGTTAGTTTCCATATATGGGCTACTACTGTATGTGATAGCCTCCTCCATGATGGCGAGGTGAAAAAATCATCAAAGAACAAAATCAAAGACAGTCGGCGTCACCGACCACGTGCAACAAGACGGAACGTTCAAAAGACTTTACCGCGTTCCATGTAAGTTGAACAATAGTGTCCAAGCTACTTGAGATGGCGTGGGCGTCAGAAACCATATTTCCCCCACAAAAGGGAAAACCAAATAAAGTAGACCCATCACCGCGCCTTGACAGACTGCATGATCCCGAAGCGTCCTTGCAGTCGTCATGAGCGTCTATGGCGCTTTCTACAAGCTAAGAACGGAAAATGGTGTTCCAAAACAACTGTACGCTAGAAGTGAGTTTTCAATTCTTCACGAAAAACTGCTCTCATTGTCCGGCGGCCAAGACTACACTCGCTGCAATTGCACAACCAAGTGCACAACAAATCGCTGCAAATGTAAAAATAACAAGCTACTATGTAATTCTAAATGCCATAAAAGTTCAACTTGCTGTTATAAGTGATAGTATGTATTGAGACTATAGTACAAAATGATTTGAATGTTTCTGTCATTTACTTTAATTAATAATCAATTCATGATAATTAAGTTATAAAAACCAAAAGCTGATCATATACTTCTGAATCGGACTTTGGCCGGTCACCCCTAGCTAGATGATCGTCTAATTCGAACTTTGGCCGGTCTACCATGGCCAGTCCGCTGACTGGCCGGCCAAAGGTCGAAATCAAGTTAAGTTTTGGACTTCGGCCGTCAATAGGTGGCGATATTGGCCAATGCGCGCATTGGCCGACTTCGGGCTTTGACCGTAACATAAACATATATATAATATATGCTTTTACTTTTTTAAATTTTAAATTTATTTATAGAATAAGATACTAGGCAGCCGCATCATGCTCAAACTTTACAAATATTGTTACAGCTCAGCACATCAATGAACAAGGAAAACGATTCGCACAGAGAAGAATTGGTAATGAATAAAAATACACAATTGTATTGTTGTATACGAGTAAAATGTCTAATGTCAAAACAACTGTATACGTGTCTGATGTTTAATATAAATCTATCATGTGGATATAATAACAGTATATATACATACATATATGCAATGGTAAATGTCCTGTTTTTTTCAGCGCCCGCAGAAGATGTGACCGTCATCGTAAATCCTGACGGAACGGTGATCATCATCATTAGCTAATAGTTTTAACAAGAATAAAACTTTACCTTGAACGTATCATTGTTGGTGTTATACTACTTTACCTTGAACGTATCATAGTTGGTGTTGTAAAACTTTACTTTAATCTACTGGCGTCTGAATAGCCCACACTTTAATATACTGAGGTCTGAATAATTCAAACTTTAATCCACGTAAATTATGTTTCGGTGTAGGGTACAGAGTCAGGGGACATAATCAGGAAAGCACCATTAAAATATCTTTAAGATACATCTTATAGACACCATGTAACAAAGAATACGAGACAATAACTTTACTCTTAGCTCAAAATGTATGCTGAACATAAGAGTAATAACATTCATACATACAAACATACATACGTATATATATATATATATATATATATATATATATATATATATATATATATATATATATATATATATATATATATATATATATATATATATATACACTACGTAGGTGTGAAGAGTGGAAAAACTGGCGATGTCCTCAGCCCCCCCCCCCCATACGTTAGTTAGTATCTATAATATAAAGAAAAAATAAAAACTACTCGTAATTTAATTCAACAAAAAAAGTATAATAGCAAATCAAACTGACGATACATGAGACGTGTGGTTGCACACAGCGTGATTTGTCTATTCTCCACACCCATGTATATGATGACCCATGAAGAAAACTTTGCTACGTGAAGCGTTCAATACATTTAAACACCTCTACACACTTAGGACATGTTACTGAGTATAGTGTCAATGGGAACCACAAATGATCAGCGAGTATCATACAATTTTATATGTGGCGCTTGTGGTTATAGTGTTTCTCTCATTTAGAACTTCAATATGAATGGTTACAATCTTTACAAAGCCATACGAAACAATTTGATCGCTGCTGTAGATATCATGTTTACAGATGCTAAAATCGAATCTTGTTCAATCGATAACAGTTTGGAGTAGATGCCACATTAAATTAATCGGAATGCTTGCTGGAAAATTTTAAATTTATACTCAGAAGTTAGCATTACCCTAAAATGCCATTAAACTGTTTTAGCTAAATCTTTATTTGTTATAAAATGAAAATAACAAAGTCAAAGCAATGCGGTCAATTCATAGGCATTTTATTTAGGGTTTGTTTCCTGAATTTAAATATGATATGTTTTATATTTTTTTTTAAGGAAATGGAAACAATAAATCCGTTTCAATAGAATCCACTATTTTAACGCAACACACATTTCATATAATGGCGGCCTTTCTACTTCCGTAGTTAAGAAAGTCGTTTGTATCTTGATTTCTGTTTTTCAAGCGCTAATTGCATCCTGCTAATTAAACAATAAATATAGCCCATCCACAAAAGTTGAAAACGTAAGTTGATTTTAAGCAAAACGACTGAGTATGTCAGATTTTGAATGAATAAATCGATTTTTAAATTTCAAATCTGTAAACATTTGTGTCGATATGTTGTCGATAAAAGGTAAACCGGATATTACAGGTCGACATTGTGTTTAATCTTATAACAAAACCACCAGACAAGTAACAAGTGAAGATTCTACTACGGCTAGTAACTAAAATGAGCAGGGACGTGTTATTTTCTTGATAGTCCAATTAAATAAAAACATCCTCCCGACCTAACTCTTTTGATAACAAACAGAATTTAGACATTTCTCCCCCCCCCCCCTCCCCACCGTAAGAAAAGCCTGAAAAAAAACGTTGGCAGTAATGACTAGCCCGATCTCGAACACCTTCTCAGCAGCCACATTATATGTTCTGTGGCACCCAGTAGGGCAAGATATATAGCACACACGCTCATTGATAAAAGACTTTGTTTTGTTTGTCTACTAGATGCGACCGAGAATCCACGTCAAGCTTGTTGCCGTTCACATGAAGTATTTGGAAGAACAGCTTGGAGTTATCGAACCTGTCATTGACGCTGTGAAAAGTGTAAGATTCTATTGAGAAATTTTTATCCCCTGTTTACCAGCATTTATTTCTTGTTTTTATAGCAGGTTACATCTGCCCAAGAGTACAGAACATTCTAGAACATGTTTGTATTTCTTCAGGCTGTTGGTAAAAGTAAGAGCTGGATAGACGACACAAGTGACGAGCCGTCCATCTCCTACTGTGAGCTCTACCAGGAACTTGAAGCAGCGACCTCGGCTATAATGAACGCAGCTGCTCAAATTATAAGTTAGCGTGCAACTGTTGATGTGATTGTGTACTCTAATAACTTTGGTACACGACTTGCAAACTGTTGATATTTTGTGTACTCTAATAACCTTTGGTACACGACTTACAAACTGTTGATATTTTGTGTACTCTAATAAACTTTGGTACACGACTTACAAACTGTTGATATTTTGTGTACTCTAATAACCTTTGGTACACGACTTACAAACTGTTGATGTTTTGTGTAGGCTACTCTAATAACTTTGGTACACGACTTACAAACTGTTGATATTTTGTGTACTCTAATAACTTTGGTACACGACTTACAAACTGTTGATATTTTGTGTACTCTAATAACTTTGGTACACGACTTACAAACTGTTGATATTTTGTGTACTCTAATAACCTTTGGTACACGACTTACAAACTGTTGAAATTTTTTGTACTCTAATAACCTTTGGTACACTACTTACAAACTGTTGATATTTTGTGTAGTCTAATAACCTTTGGTACACGACTTACAAACTGTTGATATTTTGTGTAGTCTAATAACCTTTGGTACACGACTTAAAAACTGTTGATATTTTGTGTACTCTAATAACCTTTGGTACACAACTTGCAAACTGTTGATATTTTGTGTACTCTAATAACCTTTGGTACACGACTAGCAAATTGTTGATGTGTTTGTGTACTCAATTACAGAGACGTAGCGAGGGGGGGGGGACGGGGGATGCGGACCGCACCGGGTGACACCACTTGGGGGGGGGGGGGTGACACCAAGGCAAAAAAAAGAATATAGAAAAAAATGTATAGAAAAAAAAATCGAAAGCTTGTTGGAGGGGGCTGGGGGTGACACCATTAAGTGCTGCAACGGGTGACACCCAACCTCGCTACGCCACTGCTCAACTACCCAGTTTTAACAACCTTTGATACACGACTTCAATATAAAATTTTTTAAATATTTCACGCATTCCTCTGCTAAAATTATAATTGTTATTTGACATTAACCAGGCGAACCTAAAGACGACGTAGATGTCGACGATGGAATTTCTTCATCATCTTCGTCAACCACACCAACGACAGCAACACTCGACCGTGGGGATTCAACACATCAAGTCAAACTGGACCGTGGGGATACAACCTATCAAGTCACTAAACAAGTTCAACAAACAGCTGGTACAAACCATTATATAATAGAGATATTCACCAATGAGTATGATTACCCTATGTTATTTGTGCTTACAACAGCAATATTTAAGCTAATTTATAGTTTCTAAAGCATTTGTGATATCGAATAATCTCTAACATGAATTTATTTAGATAGAAGTAAAGTTTAGAAACATGTAGTTTATAAAATTAAACTTGTAAGACAAATGTTTAAACTTATTTTCATTGGTTTTCAACATATTCCAGAAATATTGACGCGACTTGCACGTGTAGAGAGAACGTTATCTTCCCTTCAAGACAGCCGAGAGAAGACAACCGACCCCATAGAACGTCTGGAACAACACATTCGCGAGCAAGATGAGATTCTCAAGCAACTGAACAAGGAACTTGAAAGTCTGAAAGACGTCAAGCCCAGCGTAGCTCTGCAGAAGATGACTCTAGATGTGAAAGAATTTGAAAACAACTTGCACAAGATTAATTGTGAGATGAAAGTCTTCTCAGATCAAATATATAACACAACCCAAGATGTAAAAAATAATTTTCACTTGATCAATGCTTTAAAGGACGGTGTACAGCAAAATATGGCAATCACAACTTGCAAGTTTAATGACGTATTTGCCAAGGTAAATCAATCAATTTATTGATATTTTTTTTGAACGATTGACGTGTGATAGATTGAATATAATCTTTGATCTGGCGAATTTAATCTCATTATTAAAATACTCAAGTAGCAGAGGGTAATTTAGCCAGTACGTGTATTTCTACTGCAAAATTTTATTTAATACATGTTTTTGGTAATTTTTCAACTGGAAAGAAGGGGGAAATCAGTTAGCATCCAACTGAAAATTTTAATATATGGCTTATGGTAGAGATCGTTTATAGTGGGACACAAATCTATAATGCAATCGTACGCGTGGTCGTTTTACTGATCTGATTTATTTGAGGATATGAATAATTAATTACCTTAAAATCGTTGGCTAAAAGCCACACGATGATATGAGATGTTATAGGAATAGAGCTACTGGAAAAATCCTACTTAAAAGTCCCCATTAGCTGTTAGTGTTTAAGTTATCACGACGTATGCATTAGTTTAACATGTATTAGTGAAATAATTTCTTCAACCTATTCAAGTCATTTATAGCGTAAGCAATATATTGCAGTGAAATTCATCGTTGTATAAATAATAATTGTCTTATAACAAGATTTATTGATGTTCTCTTTAAAACATTTTAAAATATTTAATGATTGATTATTATTTTCGAAAACTACATTTCTAAATGATATGTCATTGCAATGTATTTGAAATGCTTCAATATAATTAAACATGCGATTTTTCATACAATAATTTTTAAATCGGCATTTTTGTTTTGTTTAAGCTTGAGACCCAAGCCAACGATAGCCTGAGGCTTTCAGCAGCTCTCACTAGGAACGGTACGTTTGGTATTTCATTTACATTTTATATACCGATATTAAGTGATATCTTAATTTTGTTATTATTTGCCGAATTACTATGTTCATTTGTTCGTTTATTAAGGATTATCCGATGGTGTTTTTAATGCGTTGTTGTGAGTGAGTGGGGAGGGGGGGGGGGGGATGAATCAGTACGAATGATTTGAGACTTGTCCTTTGATCCACTGATTCACATTTTCAGTGAACGCTTGTAGCTGCGTCCTGAACTAAATCCAACAGTTGTAACACATTTCTATGTAGTTTAGATACACATTTGTACCCGCTAGGGTATTGAGAAACAGGATTGGTTTCTCAATTATGTTTAAAACGTTATTAGCAAACCCTCCTTAATTAACTTAAATGGATGAGTGTTAGACTCATTAAATATATCAACTTGCGAGTTTAAATAGTAGGGTCTTAGGACACACTGTACTCAATAGTCAGCATTGTGAGCAGATTTTAACGGTTTTTAATTATATCGATAAAATTTAATTAAGTGCATAATAACTTTTTAAAATATAGCATTCACGATATTAACATGCATACATGGTGCCATAGTTAAGGTAACCAGTAGGGTGACACATAAGGTGACACATAAGGTGACATATAAGGTGACACGTCAAGTGTCACACACAGACACCCTCGTATAAAAGATGTTTGAACATTTTTACACCGCACTTCTCTCTTGACAGAGGTAACAGAGTATAAACCTTACATCTGTCAAATCCATCTGGACAACAACACACCTGTATCCACTGGATCCATAATCTCCACATTCTACAACATCTGGGAACCTGACGGCAGCCATTTTAACAGAACCACAGGGAAACTTGTGGCACCGGAAGATGGGTTTTATCTGGTGCTGGCCACACTGGAGGCGATCGATAACAAAATTATCCGGGTGAGTGTGTTGAAAGGAGATGTGTTACAGAAAGATGTGTTCGTCAACTGTGCCAACACGTCCGCTTGTGGCTCTACGCTGATCGACATGAAGAAAGGGGACGAACTCAGCTTTAAGGTGACGCAGGCCGATCAAGGTGCTATGTTGAGTGGGCCAAGTGGCTTTACAATTGTTAAACTGTAAGGAAACCAATGCTATTGACGGTTTACAATTGTTAAACTGTAACCAAACCAACGCTATTGGCTGGTTACAATTGTTAAATTTAACTAAAGTCAAATGTAGTGGTTGGTTACAATTGTTAAATTTCACCAAAATCTATTGTAATGACGGTTTACAATTGTTAAACTTTAACAAAATGAATGCTGTTGACAGTTTACAACTGTTCTTCTCTAGAGAAACAATTTATTTTATTATTTCCAGCACAAACATTTTGAAGCACGAATGTCTAATATGTAGCTTTATATTATTTGAGAGTTTTTAAATGAAGTTTATTTCATGATATTTCTTTTTATAAACTCTATTACTTTTTATACTGTGAAATTACGAATTTGAAAATGTATTTATTCCATAATACACAATTCATTTATTTCCATAATGTTTTAAATTAAATTTTGATTCGTTGAAGTTGAAGTGATTGTTTTCTGTTTATCATGACGATTTTGTTTACATGAATAAACGAACTCACATTAAATATTGTTGCTGTATGTATCGGTGTGAATAATTGAATGAGTTTATTTCTGTCTTATGTTGATTATGTTAGTATGTATATGCGGTGACGAGATAGATATGAATCTTTAGTAGGCAATAACATATGCATTTTTGTACAACAAATAAATGCAAACTCCCAAGTTTTGTTAAAATCATTATAACAAACTTTATTCTTATCAAATCCCCAGGTCTTGTTAATTTATCACTGCAAACTTTAGTATTATCACAAGTCCAAAAAATAATACAATCAACGCCCTTCATTATCACCAACTAACTTGTCTATCAAGCATATCTTTGTACAGTATTTGTATCGACTGATACACAATTAAAACTGCAGTCATACATTTATCGTGTTTGATTGTAGTATTCGAATAATTATGTTAAGTAGGAGTTTAATTACTTCCTGTTAAATAGCAAGAGAGACTTTGCATGTACATAATTCATTAAACAATATAAAAACAGTAAATGCAATAATTATTGTATATAATAACATGGCAAATTATATAAATATACAAAAAAAATCAAACGATTACAATATTACAATAATACTTAATCCAATATTTTATCACACAATGTAGGATTTGATTGACAAAGTACACTTAACACTTACAAGCTGATTAAAGTCAAACTACTGTACACGGACAGGCGAGCTAGATGATCAGCTCTATCTACCTGAATAAAAAGCTCCTGACCTTTCTTCATGTCAACTACCACAAACCCAGAAGATTTGACCTCCGCTGATTCTACCGAGAAGCTCTCGAGGCATTTACCCCCAACAATTACATTAAGCTCAATCCACTTATCCTCCCACTCATGTAGAGTCAGACAGACAAGGTACAGCCCGTCGTGAGGGGAGAGAAATTTCCCGGTCCGTCTGTTGAAGTGGTGACCGTTGTGTGCCGTCTGTTGAAGTGGTGACCGTTGTGTGCCGTCTGTTGAAGTGGTGACCGTTGTGTGCCGTCTGTTGAAGTGGTGACCATTGTGTTCTCTCACAGAGCTGAATGTTGCCGTCTGTTGAAGTGGTGACCGTTGTGTTCTCTCACAGAGCTGAATGTTGCCGTCTGTTGAAGTGGTGACCATTGTGTTCTCTCACAGAGCTGAATGTTGCCGTCTGTTGAAGTGGTGACCGTTGTGTGCCGTCTGTTGAAGTGGTGACCATTGTGTTCTCTCACAGAGCTGAATGTTGCCGTCTGTTGAAGTGGCGACCGTTGTGTTCTCTCACAGAGCTGAATGTTGCCGTCTGTTGAAGTGGCGACCGTTGTGTTCTCTCACAGAGCTGAATGTTGCCGTCTGTTGAAGTGGTGACCGTTGTGTGCCGTCTGTTGAAGTGGTGACCATTGTGTTCTCTCACAGAGCTGAATGTTGCCGTCTGTTGAAGTGGCGACCGTTGTGTTCTCTCACAGAGCTGAATGTTGCCGTCTGTTGAAGTGGCGACCGTTGTGTTCTCTCACAGAGCTGAATGTTGCCGTCTGTTGAAGTGGCGACCGTTGTGTTCTCTCACAGAGCTGAATGTTGCCGTCTGTTGAAGTGGCGTCCGTTGTGTGCCGTCTGTTGAAGTGGCGTCCGTTGTGTGCCGTCTGTTGAAGTGGTGACCGTTGTGTGCCGTCTGTTGAAGTGGTGACCGTTGTGTTCTCTCATAGAGTTGAATGTTGCCGTCTGTTGAAGTGGTGACCATTGTGTTCTCTCACAGAGCTGAATGTTGCCGTCTGTTGAAGTGGTGACCGTTGTGTTCTCTCACAGAGCTGAATGTTGCCGTCTGTTGAAGTGGTGACCGTTGTGTTCTCTCACAGAGCTGAATGTTGCCGTCTGTTGAAGTGGTGACCGTTGTGTTCTCTCACAGAGCTGAATGTTGCCGTCTGTTGAAGTGGTGACCGTTGTGTGCCGTCTGTTGAAGTGGTGACCATTGTGTTCTCTCACAGAGCTGAATGTTGCCGTCTGTTGAAGTGGTGACCGTTGTGTTCTCTCACAGAGCTGAATGTTGACAGAATAAAGTCAGAGAGCAGGGGCGTGTCGTCAAACTGGACGTGACAGGCGTAGCTGGTACAGGCGCGGGACTCTGTAAGGGATGAACACATTTGTCTGTTGGAGTTGGTGATTTTCATTTCAAATTTATATTTTAAAAGATAAAGCATTATTTTTTGTCTAAGTTTTTTTCTTGCTGCCACCTCAGAGAAGGGGCTACTTAGAGTAGGGAAAGTAAAAACTGGTGAGTATGACCTAGGTGTCTTATCAAATGAATAAGTTACAGATATCTTAAGCCACACATTGATGTTATATAAAATATAAGGTAGCGGTTAAATAACATAACTATGTAAAAAAAAAAGTAAAAGTACTCTTTCAAGACAGGTAAAGTGGAGTTGAACTGTTTCAGTTATTTCAGAATACAAAAAGATACCATGCCCAATCGCCTTTACTGTTCTTAATATTTTAACGTACCAATCAGATTTTGTTAGCCTCTCATGGACGTCTTACCGACTCAACCTTGAGATCCGATCTCAAGACTTTCAGGTTAGATATCAAACGCTCTACCATTCGACCACATCAATACTACCACACTGCTAATATAACCATGTAATTTACACTAAATATATTTGTAATACATACTTACCAATATACATGAGTTTCCTCGAGATATCTTGAACCTGAAAGTCAACATTCAAACAATTTCCTCATTGTCTTTTATTAAATTAAACTAGATTTTTTTTGTATCACAGATACACAAGTTAAATCTCACAACACAAAATTCCCTTAACCCACATACATAGCTGATGTGAATATACGAGCGATACCTGTGTCTTTAATTTCTTCCGTGCTGTCATGTTTTTGTGAAAGATTCCCAGAAGTGATTCCAGCGGGTTGATTCGGGTGGACATCAGTTGACACACGGCTCCAAACTTTTGACATTCAAGGAGAAAATATAGTTTAATCGTTGATAACAAATTGGTTTAGTTTTAAAAATATAACTATGATTTTTTTTGAAAGCATCCTTTCAATTTGTTTAATTAATTACAGCTTAATTATTTGCTATTACATACATTAATTTAATAACATACCTTAGCATTAAAATTTTCAAACATTTCATTACATGATTTCTCCAAATGTGATTTTAATACTTTGTAGTTTTCTGAAGAAATGATGGCATGATTTTTCAAGAGATATTCATTAGTTGTCTGATCATCAATGGGTAATTCTTTTCCATACATAGATTTAGATAAAGCATCAATCCGTTTTCTTAGGTCACACGCAACATTCTTTGTCTTGATAACTTCATGATTTACATCTTCAATACCGGAGGAACAGCACGATTTTATTTCTTCAATCGATTCTTCGAATTCTCCAATTCTTTTGTCTGCTTGCTTGAGTCTACTTTCTAAAGTTTTGTTCTTCTTACGTATTTTGTCGAACTTTAATTTTAAAATCTTGGAGTTTTCTCCGTATTTCTGATCAAATTCTTCAGCATGTTTTTCTAGTTCGTTTAGTTTCTTGTCCTGTGTTTGCAAATGTTTGTTCATAGTCCCAATCAGACTTTTTGTTGCATCTAGTTCACTTTTAAAATGATCTTCAGCTTAAGAACAAAAAAACCTTTAAAATTATATTGGCACTTATAGGCCTATACCTATAACATAAAAAAGCACGAATACCATGATATATTTTAACATTTACTCTTCAAGTTAAATTAAAAAAAACCAATAAACAATAACATTGAATTTAAAATACTACCATCCATACTGCGAGCCTGTAATTGATGTTTTGATCCTGAATCACCACACAGCTGATTTTGGGTAGCTCTACATGGTGAGTCAGTTTTATGTAAATATAAACTCGGCTCATCACTACCTGTTTCTTGATTGTTTTGTTCTAATTTTAAATAAAAAAGGATTATTTATATATTGCAAATATACAAAACAGTATCGTTCAACTATTTGATAATTTAGGTGTCATTAAAAAAGAAACATCATTGGCGTATTGGCATAATATTTCGTATTTTGACAAAGTAGGTCATTTGTCGTAGAGCGATAATAAGTTGAGACTTAGGACAAGAGTAAGTGACGGTTAGTATAATGTGGATAAATGAAAAGAGAATATAACTGAAAGTGATATCAACCCAATATTTCTGACGAAGCTTTCAACAGGGCTAAAGTCGCTACATCCAGTTCATGCGATATATCACTGTAGCTTTGAGATGCATGTTCCTCCTCCAACCATTCTTTGCTCTTCTTTAGTGCCTGTTGTTGGATGCATTACATTAACTTTTAATTTAAAGAACATATCAATAATATCCACGTCACCATAACAAACAATATGCTTCTAAGGAAACGTTCAAATGTTACATGTATTTTCGTGTTTTGGTCTAATTTTTTCAACTTTTGTCTTGACATTACATTTTATTATTCAACTTCGAATCTTTTGTTGTTAGATCGAAGGCTGATTAAAATGGGCTAAAACTGTAAGTTTAGTTCTTTATAAGGATAGACAAATACTGTAAACATATTAATGTTAGGAAAGAAATAATCATATTTGCATTTTTTTGTCTACATGTTAAACAGTGTTTCTAATTTGATTTTAATATAAAAAGAACCCACATCACTCAAAGTTCAAATGCAGGTTACAAAATAATTTTTTGGCTCTCCAAATATTGCCGGTGTTCTTTTATAAATCTGACTTGAATTCCAAGCCGCATCTAAGCAGATTATGAAAAAAAAACACAACACAATGACTTAAGAATAATGTCTGTCCAGTGCTGATACTTAAATTAATTTGACATGTGTATTTAATTATGTAAACATTACCAGCAGTTACCTCTAGACAGTTAAAGTTTTTAGAGATTTGTGGTGTGGTTTTGTTTTAAATGGTCGCAAACAAGCGTAACAGCAAACGTGAACATGTTTAATTTTATGACGTATAATGTTAACTAAGTAAGGTTAAGTAAAAACTATGATATGATCAAAACAAAAGTTCAAGTTATATTATTTTTATTAGCTATTGATATTTTGTTATCAAAGTGTTAAAAACTTTCGTAAAGGAAGTAATTCAAAAATAGTCAAAACAAGATTTGGCTATCTAAAAATAATTCAATAGGTGTGGGTTAATTGTAAAATTAGAATTTGATCGCAATGCATAAATTATATTTTAATTATATTCTATAAACTCGATAAATTTGCAAAAAGCACTATAAAAATTCCCTGATAAAATTGAAATTACCTTGACATATTTTGACATATTAATATGTTTACGTATCCTACATGGCGATTGTCATAGATGTGATTCGTCAAAGAACCAAAAGCAAATTTATAACTTAAATGTGAACGTAAAAATAATTGTCTTATTCAAACCTTTGAGTAGGTAATTTAAAACCAAATGAAGCAGTCTCAAATGAATCATTGATTTTATTCTAATAGACACCATTAATTTACCTTGTGTTGATGTGAAGTAATGACAGGGCTGATATGTTCGTTGCTGGGTTGATTTTCTTTACTTGTTTTTCTTTTCACGACACACAACAATGGGATTTCCCAGTTTCGTTTTCAGTTTCGTTTTCTTAACATAAATGTAGGACTGATTATTATGGTCCTTTTTTAAACATCAATACTTGTGGAATATTTTACACACATATAACAACGTTTTAATGGAAATCACTGCTTTTTAGTTTTATTTTAGAAATACACACATTTTTTGTTTGAATTTGGAAGATTTTTGTACCAAATTGCTACAATTCTGTAACAGTGTTAGGCTCTACAAGTAGTTTTCTGTGAGTTTCGTTTTGGCTTGAAATACAAATTAGGCAATTTTCTTGATAGTATCATCTTGTTATAACAATGCTTTAAGTTATAATGCTTATTGGTTGTTAAAATGGATACGAATCAAGTATATAAGGGGGTATTAAAAGCCTGGAGTGACAATCGTTAAATTTTCAGCTTTTGTCGTGAATGTTACATGATCCCTTTCCTTGACACACCATAAACAATTCAAATTGACTTTCATACGATGATATTAACAGAAATATCTTTCCTTTGATTTCAGTGTGGTGTAAATTACAAATATAAAATTCTATCGCTAATGCTAAAATATCAAAATGTATTGAAGCCACATCAAACACGTCACATCATTAAAATATTTCTTTATTGGAAAAACAACAAAACAATTCAACTTAACCAATAACATAGTATAGTTCAAATCTGTATGCATAAAAAAATTGACAACTAATAATGTTGAATTTTAAAAGAGGTATACGTTGGGTTTAATTTTTGACCATTTATTTTAGGAGAATGTGTGTTAACTTTTTCAAATGATTAAAATATTATTTTCACTTTAAATATTACAACTTTTCCAAATTTTATCTTATCTTAATTTAATATAACAATGGTTTACCAAATTTTTATATTTTTTTATTTTACTATTGTTAAACAAGCTATAACAGATGTGTTTAGTAAATATAATGCCACTACTATTTTTAAATGAGCAGGTAATTTTAAAAATGTGTGAGTTCTATTCTGTTTTTAAATGTCCGTCTTTTTCCTGTTGGCGAGATAAGTTTTGACGTTTGCGTTGCTTTCTATTTTCTGCACCAGACCGTTCAAGAGTGGGTGTTTGGTGGTGTCTCCTACCCTGCCGGGTACCATGGTAACAACTTGATACACATAGAAGTCTGCTAGCGTCAGCTGTAGAGAGAGGTTACAATGATTTAAGCTTAGATAATTCAAAATAAAAAATACTGGCATATAAAATAACATAATATTTATGTTACAGAAAATAGTAATGTAAAAATGGTATGTTCTTATATAGTCATTTGTGGATAGTTATAACCAAGCAAAATACCGAGTACAAGTTTTATTAATATCTTACTAAATATTTTCTACTTTATTATAGTACCTCAGCATTGCTTTAATACTTAACTACAACTGAAACAAGAACAATACACTATTATACACTGACTTACCGTATTACCAACGACGAATCCTGTGCCAGATTCTTTCAAAAGTTTTTCAAAAAAGTCTAGATATTTGGGAACCTCTACGTCGTTAAGCTCTTTCTCTAGCTGGCTCTGGAAAAGTAATATTTCATCATTTACATACCTTTATAGGAGCCCACAAAACTTAGAATGTTAACCAGATTTTAAATATATTAAATTCAGTGGTTAAATGTTGACAAATCAACGTAATAATAATTACTTATTTATTGGAGCATTTCAAAACTGTGTCTTCAATACTAAAACTACACATATACGTAACAAAAAAAAATACAATAGAAATAATCATACATTTATGATTTTAAAAATATGCCAACATACCTTTTTCGCCTCGTCTTTCTCAAAAAACGCTTTAAATGTCAATATTTGCAAGTCAACTGCAAGTTGAACGACTTGATCGACTTTTAATCCGTCAATGGCAGTTTTAGGATAAAATCCTGAAAACATACAAACAAGAATAATTGTTGTCAAAATCTGAATGGATCGAGGTATTTCCTAAGATCAAATGAAGTCAAAAACTCTCCATTCTAAAAATGGACTTTGGCATACCTGCTTCCTTGGCAACAAAGGTTGCTATGGCAACGCTCTGGGCATACAATTTGCCATCTACGACTAATACTGGCAATTGCCCAAATGGCATTTCTGAAAAAAAAAGCATCATCCACTGTAGTTAACAGTTACATATTTGAAAGGTAAAAGCAACATTCAGACAATTGTGTTTTTAAGTGGTTTTGACAACAATAGAATGTGCTCAACTTAAATAAATGATTTTTTATATCATACCGAACCATTTATAAGTAAACAATTTAAGTAATTATTCGATTAATACAGTATCTAGAATTTTACAATTATAATCTTGTTTACTGATATCATTTTAACATTACACACGACATAAATCATTTAGTACGAGCAATTAGATAAGCGAAAAATCACGTTATTATCGTACTTTTCTATCATTGCAGTGGCTGTAATAATCAGTTCACGTGTACACCATGTGTACATATGAACACATAATCAGTTTACGTGTGCAATATGAGTACACATGAACACATAAGGCTGGACATAACATCACGTTAATCTTACTTGGTTTCTCGGCCGGCCATGTCTCTGTTGTGTGTCTGACGTCATCATACTTGACCCCCGCTGCTGCAAACATGAGGCGGATCACCTCACCCCGCCCCCGGGCGTCAAAGTAAATAAGTTTGACGTTCTTAAGTGACATTGTAGCTGGAGGTAGAGAGATACATACATACATATATATATATATATATATATATATATATATATATATATATATATATATATATATATGTATGTATGTATGTATATATATATATGTATATATATATATATACATGCTGCATAAGGGCTACATTTGAGGTTAGGAGATTAGGAGAGACCGTCTCCTAATCACAAATGTAGCACACATTTATATACATTGTTTAAATTTAAGATAAATAATAAATGGCATTTGTATGAGTTTAACAAATTATAATGAGAATATAGAGAATGTTTCTATTTATATTTATAGACTTACTTAAACATGATCGGCACACACATACACACACCACATACCATACACACACAGACACACACACACACACACACACACACACACACACACACACACACACACACACACACACACACACACACACACACACACACACACACACACACACACACACACACACACACACACACACACACACACACACACACACACACACACACACACATATATATATATATATATATATATATATATATATATATATATATATATATATATATATATATATATATATATATCAATTAACTTACTGCAGGGTGTTCGTGTAACACAGTAAACGGAAAAAGAAAACGGTTAAGTAGCCTGCCGACACTGAATAGCCAAATATGAAACGGGTTGTCGCTTTTATAGACAAGCATGACCAGCGAGTTTTAATTCAATAGAGCCGGGTTAAAATTAGATTTTTTTATCTGTTTACATTCAACTCAGTGCGATTGGGTCCCGGGTAGGTGAAATATTTAGGCGCTAGTACAGCTTTTATGCTTAGTTCCACAAAGGGAGAGAGTGTGTGTCGGAGAGAGATTAAAGAGAGCGAGATAAATAGAGAGATATACAGAGAGATAGATTTAGAGAGATAGAGAGATTGAGTGTGCACGCACTATCTGGACTTTATGCAAATAAGTGATTAGTCACCAACAAAAATGACTTAACAAAATGAAAATATGAATGCTTTACTGTATCATTGGATTATTTTATCGGGTTCCAGATAGTACACAATAATATTCATACTGATTGTCTTTGTCGGTAATAGAAAATAGAAGACTTGTAGATTTGATAGCTGGATGTAGGTTAACTTGGTTGGATACTGAATTATGGGCGGAGTCAAATGTTCAACAAACTATAAATAGTTTTACTATTTGTTCGACTAAACAGTGACGTCATGGATCAAGTGCAGCAGTGCTAGTCCAATAAAAATATTTTTCTTGTTTTCATTTGAACTGGTCGGAACAATTATTTTCTTATTCCACAATATATAGGGTACTTTAGTTGTTTAACTGACATGCAAAGTTGTATTTACTCAGATATATACAATAAACAACTAACATTGAATGCACATATCAACATTAAGTCATGCAACATTTTAAATAAACTATAGTGTAAGGCGCGATTAAGCTATACACCTAAGCAATGTATGCAATATACAAATAGAAACAGCATAAAACTTTACACCCCACAAACTGCATTATAGCGAATACCGTGTAACTATAGTTTGTATGCATTTTGTTCAAATTTACTACATTGTAGAATTGATGCCTCTTTAATATTTTCTTTTGAAACTAAGTCTAAACGAATAGGCCCGCTGCAATACCGTGTAGCAAGAAATCAAATAGCAATTTCACTCTCCCTTTTGACATTCCTCCCCCCCACCACACACACACACTTGACGTGAATTCAATCACGGACGTAACCAACTAGAACTACCCCCCCCCCACACACACACTTGACGTGAATTCAATCATGGACTTAACCAACTAGAATTCCACCCCCCCCCCCCCCCCACACACACAGACACCTGTGTTGGTCTAGTCAGGGCCTGCCCAGGCAATGTTGTAGAGCTAAAAGGAAAGTTAACTTGTCGGTCTTCAGACCCGTGTTGGTTTAATACAGGCGCTACCTGGTTCCCTGCACATGTAATGTTAACTTGTAGGTCTTCGGACCTGTGTTGGTTTAGTACAGGCGCTACCTGGTTCACTGTACAGGCAATGTTAACTTGTAGGTCTTCAGACCTGTGTTGGTTTAGTACAGGCGCTACCTGGTTCCCTGCACATGTAATGTTAACTTGTAGGTCTTCGGACCTGTGTTGGTTTAGTACAGGCGCTACCTGGTTCCCTGCACATGTAATGTTAACTTGTAGGTCTTCGGACCTGTGTTGGTTTAGTACAGGCGCTACCTGGTTCACTGTACAGGCAATGTTAACTTGTAGGTCTTCAGACCTGTGTTGGTTTAGTACAGGCGCTACCTGGTTCCCTGAACATGTAAACTTGTAGGCCTAAAGACCCGTGTTGGTTTAGTACAGGCTTTACCTAGTTCCCTGCACATGTAATGTTAACTTTCGACCTGTGTTGGCCCCATTACAGGTCCAGCCCAGGTGTTACATACATGCAATGTTAACTTTCCTGTCCTTAGAGTAGATGAAGTAGAGCTCACCTGTTCCCTTGACCTTGAACTATTAAGGTAATAGTGGTCAGTTATACGACCAGCTGAAGTTTGGTTTACATTAAAAACAGAAAAAACTGTTGGGTTATCACAACCTTGACCTACTAAAGCTGACAAAATACTTTGGCCTGAGATTAGAGTTAATCTGGGTGTAAAGTCTCTTGGTGACGTCATGAATAATTAGCAAGTTTTGATCATCAGGAAAAAATGTTTATAACTGACTCGGCTGTATGTTTGTATGCGATGACTTTCATTACAATATTTCTTCTGATTGATTCATGTAGGTCAACCGTAAATATATATGAAGGGCTCAGTGGAAAAAGTACTTAAGTGTATTTTGAGAGTTTTGAGAAAAATGAGTGCAAAGTTTTTAAATTGAAGCTGAAATACCAAAAGAGCTGATGCAGAGTATTCGAATTAAGCTACTTCGGTACTTTTTCCATGGCCCAAATTTACAGGGATGGTTAAGGGTAGGTAATCAAATAATATACCGGTCTTAACTCATTTTTGAAAAAATGTAACTTAAGTACTTTTCCCACTGAGCCCTTCATATGTAGGCTGGTGTATTTATCCTTACATATATGTAGCAGGTGTATTTATCCTTACATCTATGATGACGGGTGTATTTACCAGTACGTATATGAAGGCGGGTGGATTTATACCAGTATCATAGCTTCTAGTGCGAGTTAGCGGACAGTGTACACTATAAAGTTGTACCTAATTGTAATACAGTTTTCCATTTAATTCATTCGGATTAGCGGTAAATGTAATGTAACAAAACAAACACTAATCTATAAACAAACACATGATTTCATGAATGGGCCTATCTTTAATTTACTTAATTATTTAATTTAACACAAATTTAGTATTTTTTAATCTATCCATTCCCACGATCCATGGGGTAGGTGAAGTAGAATTAACTTATTTTCATGACTATATGAAGTGTTAGTGTGGTCAGCCCTATATTTAGCGGCCTTTACTTCCCCTAACGTGAGTTGCCAATCTGAGCTGTGTGGACTTGAACCCTAGAGACGTTCGGGTGAGCTGTCGAGTGTTCTACCAATCGACCATACCGTCCCATATTCCTAAAGAATACTTTATGAAAATAAGGTTCAATTAAAACTTAGTTTCTACCATTATATTTCATTGTACGTATATGTAAGCTTGGTCGTAAGATACACCGCGTTCAATGTTGGTAACGCCTCATACATATTTACAAATAACATATATAACACACATATTTTTTTTACATATCAATGACAAGTAAATGTTTCACAATTTAACATGTATGCTTATATGTCACATATAATACACTTTTGTCAACACGTCACATACAAAACACTTTTGTCAACACGTCACATACAATACACTTTTGTCAACACGTCACATACAAAACACTTTTGTCAACATGTCACATACAAAGCAAACTTGCCCAGACTAGATAAAATAAATTACGAAATTGATAAGAATGTTTTGCTTGTGAATTTGAATAGGTAGATTCTAGGACAAAGTACTTTTTAAGTACCCAAACCTTCTCAATAGTCAGTTATATAGTGAATGCACTAGATCTCTACATACAGCGAGTTTGATGATACAGTGCAGGCACTCACTTAAAATAACGGATAGAAGAACGAGAAGGACAGAATGCTTCGAATGATCATAGGTCAGCTAGTCTTGTGCTGTACACGCCCCCCCCCCCCCACCCCCACTTCTTTTAACATATAACTTTTTCTAAACCTGCTTTAAACATTAGAAACTTTACAAAACTATGTGCGTGATGTATGTGAAGTGAAACTTTGTGAGCCGGTATACCGTTGTGTATACTACTTGTATGTAAAACATTACGTAACGTTTTAGTTTAGCATAGTTTATTATATTTTAGACTACAGTATCACAGAGTAAATCAGTCTAAGACGAAGTACATTTAAAAAAAAACTAGACCGCCGAATTTTGTACTAACATAAGTTCTGTTCTAGGTAACTAGTTATTTTTTCAATGGCTGTCTACTCAACGATAAAGAAAGACACACCCAACCATCGCTTTGAAGGTAACGTTACGACTAGAAGCACTCAAGTGTGACATTGAACTAGCTGGATGTGTCTGCTATCACCTACTTAATCATGCTACAATCTCTGTCATCACACTTCCTTTCACAGCAGTGGCGGAACTAGAAAAAAAGGCCACCCCGCTAATTTTTTTTGGGCCCCCTATATATATGTATATATATATATATATATATATATATATATATATATATATATATATATATATATATATATATATATATATATATATATATATATATATATATATATATATATATATATTCATATATATATATATATATATATATATATATATATATATATATATATATATATATATATATATATATACAATACGAACACAGGATATTCATTTCTGGCTGATCGGGTTTTGAAAAAAGTTTTTTTTTTTTTTTAAATTAAAACAAATTTGAACATGTCATGTATGTGAGTGCATTATTCTGTTTTGAAAATCTGTTTTATTTTGTCTCTGCCATAAGCCTCTACAGTCTAAACTATAGTCGGTAAATTTAATATTAAACACGAAAGTAAGTAATGGTGTCTCGTGTTGTTTATTTTTATTGGTTTTTTTAAATTTAAATTATTCATTTTAAATACATTTCCTTTTTACAGGATGTTATTCTTTAGTAAGTACTTTAAAAAAAATAATAATAATTATCAGAAGTAATTGCTTTTTAATATTTTTAGTAAACATCTATTAAAAGGAGCTAATGACCACCCCTATTTGACTATTTAAAAAAGGGAAATAAATCATGGAAGTGGTTTGAATGTTTGCCTATCTCTAGCACTACAGCTCATGTGTATATTTTTTTACGCAAGAGCATGCCTTAGTTACTGTTTAAAATCACAACTGTAGTAGATCTGTTTGTTATTTACAAAACCACTGTCAAGGAGCCAGTGGCGAAACTATAAAAAATAAAGCACATCCCCCCAACGGAGGTCACTAACGCAGCGAGACTGTGTTGTTGTAACTGGTCTATGGTGTGTCCAGTCTACTTGTGTTGTTGTAAATGGTCTATGGTGTGTCCAGTCTACTTGTGTTGTTGTAACTGGTCTATGGTGTGTCCAGTCTACTTGTGTTGTTGTAACTGGTCTATGGTGTGTCCAGTCAACTTGTGTTGTTGTAACTGGTCTATGGTGTGACCAGTCTACTCTACT